TAAATAAAAACCGTGCATCATATGAACTGTAGTCTAAACTCCTTAATGGGGGATATATAGGGGGTTCTATAGGGGACTATTATAGGCCTTATTAAGGGGGATACTAGGAGTTTAGACAATGGCTCATATGATCCCTATAAAGTCCTTAAACTCTATAAACCCTTTCCAAGCCCTATAAAGTCTTAATACCTCATAAAGCTTTTGTAAGCCCTATAAAGTCTTTAAGCCTTATACACGCTTTCTAAGCCTTATGAAGTCTATGAACCCTAGAGACGATTTATAGTCCCTATGAAGTCTAGAAAAACCTTAGAACCCTTTACAAGCCCTATAAAGTCTCAAGAAACTTCCAATACCCTAAGCCCTATATCGTCCTCTAGATTATGAAATCCGTTATATTATATAATCCCCTAGATTATATCATCCCCTATACTACAAAATCCCGGACTATATTATATAATCCCCTCTATAGCCGCCGCCCCTACGGAGTTTAGACTATAGTAACAAACGTGCGTGGCCAGGCAGAATGCGGACAGCTTCTGGCCCAGTGCACGAGCTGCGAGTCCAGCCTCTGCCGGAACCTGCACAAGCCGGCTGGCTCAGATTGTTCAGGGTTAAGCGTGTAGAGTGTTTAGGGTCTAGGTTTTAGAGTTCCGACCCATTGTTCAAGGTTTAAGGTTCAGCGTTTGGGGTTTAAGGTTTAGGGTGGGGAACTGCAATAGGTAGGGGCCATTACGTAGCAGGATAAGGTTTAGAGCTAAGGGTGTGGGGTTGAGGGCTTTAGGTTCTGTGCTTGGGGCCTGGGTTTAGGGTTTAGCGTTTGGGTTTCTGGGTTAAAGGTCAAGACTCTAGGAATTAGAGTTTAGGGTCCATGCTTTGGCTTCAGAGCCGCCTTTTGAGTTTTGCGGTTAGATCCAAGCCGCCCTATCCCTAAGCCAACAATTTATGATGGCTACCGCTGCTCCAACTGGCTCTTTAAGATGCTAACCGCACGTAAAGAGTTTCTGCCCACAGACGCTTAGGGAAGGACGCGGCGGCCAGGGCCTACTTCAACAGTGAAGAGAGGATAAACGACCTAAAAGATGTGGAGGTTTACCAAAATTAGGGGTACCTTTTTGGGGGTCCTCATAATAAGGACCAAAGTATTTTGGGGTCTATATTGGGGTCCCCCTATTTTGGGAAACTACCATGTGTTCCTCGATCTTGCCAACAGCCTGGAGGAGCCCCTTGGATCGTGCGGACAAGCCTCGGCAGAATCTTGGAAGGCGGATTTCTGGATTTCTGCAGTTCGTGCACCCATGCCTTTCCGATTGCTCAGATTGCTGGGCTGCTCTCCTTTTTGCATGAGGCACCAGCCCAAGGTTTAGTCTCAGCCCAAAGGATTCTAATCTAAGTATCTCTATGGCACAAATTTAGGTTGGGCTTCTATGCCAGGAAGTACTCATAATATGGTTTAGGTTAGTATTCCCTATATAGGTACTTAGGATCCCGTGGGCAGGGTGTAGACAATAAGCTCTACGTATACGAAATTGAGCGCAATACAAATTATTCCCTCGGCCTGGTTAGGGTTTAGGGTTTAGGGTCTGAGAATTGCCCTGTCTTGCCCAGCTGGCAATCCCTGCGGTGTTTCCTGCTTTCTGGAGAGTGCTTGTGCAGGAAGCCACTCAAGTTCAGAATTGGGGGGGTCGATTAGGTGATGTAGGAATAGGGGGCATGTAATAGGAATGGGTATTCAGGGATATGTACGGATATTGCCCCAAAATGGAGACCCCAAAGATATTGGACAATTACATGAAAACTTGGATTATAATTGGTTCATGAGATTATTTCGTCGACCCTAGGGCTCTAAGTTTAGGGTGTAGGGTTTGGGGTTTAGGGTTTTTGGCTCTAAGTCTTTGAGTATTACCTACATTGGCACCAAAGGCTTTAGAAATTCCCTACATGGGGCTATTCGGAGCCTTACGGCCAGGGTTTAGGGAGTAGGGCTTAGGTTTTAGGGTTTAAGGTTTAGGTTATGCAGTTTGGGGGGCTTTAGAAAATGTAGTGTTTAGGGATTGGGGTTTAGTGATTGGGATTTAGGGTGATTAGGGTTCGTGGACTAGGGCTCTTGGGTTGGCTTTTCGGGATTAGGAGTAAGTGATATTACTTGGGGGTTTCCCTAAATTCCGTCTCTGCCGTCATCAAGCTGCACTCCAGAAACCTAAACCCTAATCCACAAGCCCTAAACCCCAAACCCTGAACCCTAAACCCTAAAACCTTCATGGCGGTATTCCGTACCCATCCCAAGGCTCCCCAAAAGCAACTCTTTGTGATCCCCATGAAGCTTGAAGTTCAGGGATAGTAAGACTCTGGTGGCAGGCTGGCTAGAGTAATGGACCTAGGGACCAGAGATTTTTTTCGGTTAAGGGTTTAGAGTTTGCGGTTTAGGGCTAAGGGTTAAGGTCCGCACCTACCTTGGCACCTCCCACCCTTAAACTTATTCTTGGTTAGCTGGGTCTGAAGGAATGGAAAAAACGGAAACTACGATGATGGGTTAGGGACTGATATAAGGATCCATTCCTTCATCAATTGCTAGCCAAAGGTAAGCAAATAAAAGGTTAGTTCGGGGTCTGGCTAGTGATCATTCAGGCTCCTTAAGGGGGTAGGGAGATGCTGGAGTTTGGGTGGTGCAGGATCCTATGACAAGTAGTAGATTTAAGGATAGAAAATTCAAATGATCTGTAAAGAGTGATTCAGGAAGGGGGCAAGGAAGGGTGAAAAAGGAGGGATTCAAGGAATCGGGGGAGCTATATTTGGCTTCATGTTCCTTCTGGACGTTCTCGGGCTAGTAGGATTTGCGTTGGGGCTGTGCGGAAAGGGTGGAGAGAAATGTGCTGTGCAGCTTAAGGTTTAGGGGGCAGGGCTTGGGTGGTATTCGGTTCAAGGATATTAGGGCGGTCTTGTGAACTT